CCGGCCCGCTCACCTCCAGCGACGCCGGCGCCCCTTCTGCTAGGCGCCTCGGTGGCATCTGCACGCTCCTCCCTACGGGGCGCTGGCCGGGGGGCTGCCTGCCGGTCGGGGCCGAGGGGCCGTGTTGGCGGAGAAGCGGGGAGAACTGGCCGAGAGGGGCAGCCCGACCTGGCCCGCTGGACCTCCCGGAGGAAGGTGCGGGAGGGCGGGGCGCGGGCAGCTGGGCGGAGGACGCGTCCCAGGGCTGCGGCGGAGCCCGAGCTGCCGGCCCCCAGCGCAGCCGAAGGACCAGAGCGCTCTGAGAGGGCCTGGAGGCTGGAGGGAGACACTGTGAGGTCCGCCAGGCAGGGCCGTGCCTAATTGCCCCCCAGAAAGCTCGAGGAGAGTGCCTTGCCTCGCTTTCCCCAAACGGAAGGGCAAGACTGTAAAATACTCCTGTCACCTACACGGGGTGTGGTCACGAGTCAAAGATTAGATTGTTGCAAGTGCGCTAGGTGCCTTTGCCAAAAGAGGGCACCAAAAATAAGAATGGTAGTATTAACATTTCCAGCCGCCTATTTACATCATCTGGAGCATGTTCACAAACTTATCTTGTCATACTTAGCAGCAAAATAACTCAAATGTCAGGATATTGCCCCTACCCAAGATAGAGAAGATTTACTAGGTTTTACGTGTAGCTACGTCCATCTGGAAGAAGTCCAAAAGCACACTTTCCCCCAAATAATGGATAGCCATGATTTTGAGGCTTCGTGAGGATAGTGTTCCGTATTATCCACCCTCCCCCTTTTCTGGTAAATGCAATTCACTTTTCCTTTGGGAACTGCCCCTCTCCCTCATCCACAAGGACTCTGTGGTTCCAGGAGGCTGATCAGACCCCCTCCCTCCAGGAGTGGACCGTCTTCACACTGCAGAGCACAGTGACTGGCTCGGGGATGTTTGTATGGAAACTGACATTTAACCTGGGATTTGCTGGGTCTGTGCAGAGGAAGGGGAAAGGAGGGGTGTTAAACTCGTTTAAGTCGGGCAATTGCATTGGAAGGGTATAAACGTTTGGTGGTACAAGGGCCCCCAATCCATAAGAATGAAATCAACGTCAAAAAATGGGGGAAGCTGAAGGAAAGAGGGCACCCTAGATGTTTTCTGAACCTCTGGAAACCATCGCATCTGGCCAGAACTGCCCTCCGGGAGCCCATAAATCCTCCCCCTTTGTTGTTCCTGAAATTCCATTCACTTGTGTTCTGTCACATGCCACAATGAGCCCTGACTCATTATTCCCCTGAGTCTACCCATCCCAGGCATCAGTGCGAGGACATCCCACCAAACTGAGGCACTGTATTTCCCTCCCCCTCCTGACCCTTGTCTAATTTCTACTGGAATAATAGGGATCCCATATGATGGTCTATTTCTACAACTTGCTCTGGTCTGGGAGTGGAGAACCTATTTTCTGCCAAGGGCCATTTGGAGATTTATCACCTTATTCAAAGGCCATACTGCTCACACATTTAATTAACTCACCGCTAATGCGATGGCTAAAATGGCTTCTCTCTGGTGAGGCGTGTAAGGTCAGCTGGTATTGATGATTTCCCGAGCCTTATACCCCAATAAGGCCAGATGCTCCCTACCCCAACTCTAGACCCAGCAGCCCCACACCTACAACCCTGAACCTCCTCTACAGACTAGCCACTGTGGTGCAGGCTATTGTTAAACAAAAATTATAAAAATAGAGCTAAAATGGATCTCTAGGAGGGGGGGGCTTCAGAAACTTTGTGGATAAAATGGAATTAAATGATCATGGATGAATTGTATGATATGTGAATTATGTGTCAATAAAAAATTTTTTTTTAATCTTTGTCCCATGAACTTCTTAAAGCCCCCTCTTACACTGTTGCCTTTAAGATAAAAAACAAATGTGGCAAGAGGGGCACATTTTTCCTCTCTCCCCTTAAAATCAGCTCCATCAATCTTTAAAACCTGCTCTATAACCTCCTAGGAGCCCTGGGGACAATGGCGCAGTGGGTTACACATTGGGTTGCTAACCCGAAGGTTCACTGTTTGAAACCCAGAGTAGCGCAACAGGAGAAAGATTAGGCTTTATACTCCTGCAAATATTTACTGTCTCAGAAACCCACAGGGGCGGTTCTGCTGTCCTATAAGGTTGGTATCAATATATTTGATGGAATATATCCGGCCATTAAAACTAAAGCTAAGGGGTTGAATAAGCTTTAAAACAGTTATGCTAAAATCTCAGATTTGCAAGGGTGTAAAGGTGAAGTTATGCCGTCTCTGACTCATATCCCCCATCACCACCGCTACCCAGTGGAGGTCTCATCTCTGAATCCCAGATTGGTTCTTACATGGCCTTCTATAAGGGGAACTCAGTATTTCACAAGCTGATCCAGTCTCCTTGAGAACGGGCCTGCCACTGGAAAGTGATTCTGATATCTCCATTTAAGTCAAAATGACAGGTTCCATCAGACAGGACTCCAACTCCTAAAGACAAACTTGTGAACCACTTGACTAGTCTCTTTTCCAAGATCTCGGTGTGGCCCTCCACAACTTACCAGATGACAGTGTCTTAGTCTCAGTGTCACCAACCGACTTACCTCCTTCTATGGATGCACTTACGTTTGGAAACAGTCGCCCTGAAGCACCAGGATGTCCAAAGTTAAACACCAAGGCAGAATCCAAGAAACCTACGCTCATGCGTCCCTTCCAACACCACAGGAGAGGCCCGAGAAATGTCATGTTTTTGTAAAAGTGTCCAAAGTAAGCAATCATGCTCTTCCAATAGTGGCCTGAGGTGACCCAGAAAACCCCACAAAATCATGCAAATAAAGAGGTTCAAATCTTCAGATCCATTTTAAGAATACTCAGGAAACTGCCCAGGCCATCGTGGGTGTGCATATCTGAAAAGCCACCAAATATTTGAAAGATGTCACTTTACAGAAGCAGTGTGTGGCACTAGTACATTACAATGATGGCTGTGGTGTGCCTGGGCCAAACAGTGAGGTTAGACACAGGGTCCGTGGCCTGAAGAAAGTGCTAAATTAATTCTTGCTGCCCTTCAAGGTAGAAGGGGGGAACCAATTACAAGAATCTAAGTATAGACTCCTCCCTGGGGAATGGACAGCAGAGAAGAGGGCGGAGGGAGACATCAGACAGTGTAATATAATATAATAATTTATGAATTATGAAGGGTTCAGGAGGGAGGGGGAAAATGAGCAAACGATATTGAGGGCTAAAGTAGAGGGCAAATGTTGTGAGATTGATGAGGGCAACAGGTGTACAAAAGTGCTTGACTCAATGGATGTATATATGGACTGTGATAAGAATTGTACGATCCCTCAATAAAATAATTTTTAAAAAAAAGAATAATGAGGGTAACAAATGTACAAATGTGCTTTATACAATTGATATATGTATGGATTGTGATGAGTTGTATGAGCCCCCAGTAAAATGATTAAAAATAATAATAAGGTGGGGGTTTTTTAAGTAAAATATTTTAATCACAAGAGATAATGTCTCTTCTATTTTAATTTCCCCTATGTCGAAAGTCTCATCTATCTGAACATGTTGGAGTAGCTGCAAGCATTTTGGAAGGGGAAGCTGAGTTGGAGATCTTGCTTATATGAGGTAAATGCTATCCCTTTTTTGTAATCATCACGTCAGCAGTAACCAAACCCACTGCCATTGAGTCCATTCTGAATTGTAATATAGGGTTTCTGAGGCTTTGTACATCTTTACGGGAACAAACAGCTTCATCTTTTTCCTGCGGAGCAGCCGGTCGTTTGGAACCGTCAACCTTGTGGTTAACAACCCAACACGTACACCCAGCATCACCCCCAGGGCTCCCTGCAGCTTCAACAGTGACAGGCGTGCACTGCTCCAGGGCCTGCATCACTTGGACCACTCAGTGTTGTGACCTGCAGGTGGAGGGTCCGCGATCATTCCAAACGAATGCCTACCTAAAAACCCGGCGGGAAGTGTACGTGAGTAGTGAAGCACACAGCATTTAAGAAGTAAGGATCCAGATCTGCTCCCAGATCTTATTCATTGTATGTGAAAGAAATTTTATTTTCTCCAATTTTACAATCATCCTAAAAATGTGTCTTTCCAAATAATGACGGAAAAGAAATGCTTCTAAGTTATCAATCATAAAAATAAATGTTTATCAACCATACTAACTGAAAGATGGAAATATTTCAATTCACTACATCAAAAATACGATAAAATTATTTTCATATAAAGAAGAAAATTAAAGAGTATGCAGCCAAAATATGTAAGGAAAAAGGACAAGGGTAAGTTAAAACGTATTGCTACTAAAGTTGCAGTTCATATATACACTGGTTTATTTCCAATAAAACATGTTTAAACATATCTCTGAAAAAATTTTTAAATAAAATTTAAAAACCCTGTCTGTCTGTGCTCAGTAGATGGCTACAGACAAGATCTCTCAGTAATATGCCTGCTGTGGTCTCTCTCGGGTGCCTTATAAAAGGTCTGGTTTAAACTTTCTTCCAAGGGGATCTGCTGGCCAGTTAAGTCCTAGGCAGAAAGGTCAGTTCAGGAGGTTATGGAGAGTGGCGGTCTTGAGAGATTTTTCTAGAACAACACAGGACGATCACCGGGACTCACTGTGAAGACGTTTTAAGGAAATTGAAAACTGCATTAGTGAGGAAAAGACCAGAAAAATTACACCAAGGAAAAATAAGTTTTTTCCATTATAATGATGTACCTGTTCATTCTTCAAGGTTAGAAAGGGTTGTTCTATGAATATTTCATTGGAAAACCTTATCTATATACTTTAGGACCCTAAACAGACTTCTTTTTGTTCCCCAAACTCAAAAGCATGTCAGCCACGATTTCAGCACTCAAGTATACCAAAACTGCTGATTCGATGTGGTATAAATCAGAGTGCACAATTTTGCAGCAAAGGATTAGAGAGATGGAAACACTGCCTTTAGAAGTATATAGACCTCTATGGAGGATATCTTAAGAAGCATTAGCTTCACATTTTGATATTTTCTTTACTTAAGGCTTCTGTGATTTTGTAGCAACACTTTTTTATGTACACTCATAGAAATGTATCAGGCAGCATTTTGTTTTCTTATTATTATTATTAATAATATTATTATTCTGATTTTAGTATTGCCTGGTATTCCTCAATGCTTTAAAATGTGTAACTAATTGTATTTTTTTATTCCAAATAAATATTATTTCTGTACTTTGTTCTTATATACTTTTCTTTTTTCATTTTCTTTCTTTTTTTAATAAATCATTTTACTGGGGGCTCTTACAACTCTTTTTAACAATCTGTTTTTGTATACTTT